ACTGTCACTGTTAATAATATTATATAGTGTCTCTCTCTCTCTCAATACTCTGTCTGCTAGCTGTGTTTGTTGAAAGTAGACACAGCTGACAAGTCAGTCAAGACAGAGTTAGAATTGAATAATGAGTAAGAGCTCATCATTCTATCAGTCTCAGAAATCAGAGAAATAATGATTAATCTCTTATAAGAAGTTTCAGTGCTTCTCTCTGTAGAAGCAGAGAGTGTGAGATCATATTAACTAAATAATAAAGATGAAGCTGAGTGAACAGCTGCTGAGAAAGAACAGATGTACTATCTATCAAGAGAATAATAAGAAATGTTAAGTATACTCTGAGAAGAAAAGAGTTCAGATAGTTAAGTTCAGAAATTCTTATTCTCACTGTTAGATTATTGTATATAAGAGTGAGTGTAGTATCTTTAAATACAAGCTTAAGAATCTCAGTACATTCTCACTAACACAGTTATATTGATTACTGTTAAAGAGATTATCTTCTTCTTCACTGAGAAGCAGTGCTCTGATAATTTAAATTCTTATTTTATTTATACTACTCTACTTTGTGAAGAAGATTTCAAGTAGAACTCTAATAAATAAGTAATTTATACAGATGAATATATTAAAGATTCTATATAAATATTCTTTATAAGTATCAGTTATAAATGTAAATTAGTTAACTTTGAAAAATAATATCTTAAAAATAAAATTTATCAGATATTAGTTATATTTATTTTAAATCTTGATATTTAATTAACTCACAAGTTGACAGAATAATGCAGAAGTTCTATTATTAATATATTTATCAGTGAAAATATAATATTATATATTAAATGAAGATGAAATAAGTAAAGCTTTAGTATATTTATCAATTTTAGTTATTCTTCTTCAGAATTATTTTCAAAGTATTAGATAGATTATTTACAGTAAATAAAGATAGTATATTTTCAATAAAAATAGAATCTTACTCTATATTATTATTGAATTTCTCAGAATAAGACTTAACTTCAGTATTAATAATTATATTATTTAAATTCAAGTTCATTATAATCAACTACTGCTGAATTCATACTTGATTAAAATACTTAATCTTCATCTTCAGATCTTTCACTTCAATTAAAAGTATATTTAAGAAGTGAAATATATGTTTCTTTGATAGTAAAAGTAAATCTTGAGATGAGATATAATCATTCTTTAATAGACTTCTAGTAGTAAAGAATATCTCAAGCTTAGTAATAACACTTATATATTTCTTAGTAAGTGAACACTCAAAGATAGACTCTAAAATCTATTATAGCTGATAAACTTATGTATTTAACAGACAGACTTAATTAAATATAAGATAGATATTCTTTATTGAATTTTTATAGTATTTCATCTTTAACTTATAGCTATTATTAAGATGTTTTATATCTAGATCAATTGCTTTGAAGAAGTCAGGTTTTTCAGATTAATTAATAAGATCTGTAATTATAATCACTTAATATAGAGAAGAGATTTTAATGAATTGAAATATTCAAAAATAATAAAGTATCTCAGTGATATAATTATATTGATTAGTACTAAGAAAGAAGATAATCAGAGATAAAATGAAATACTTAAGAAGTTCAATATTATCATACTTAATAGTATAGTATATTTAAATGAATAATTCACATTCTTGAAGAAAATGATATATGATATAGAATTTAATATCTTAAGTAGACTGAGAGATTTAAGAGTTAATTCTATTTCAGATATTAAGAGTAAATACTTTAATATATATATCTTTAATAAGCTGAAGATACTGTGAAGAACTAAGCTGTAATATAATAGAATTGATATCTTCTAAGTACTTAAGATTACTAACTGAATAATCTCAATATTGTATAGCAGTATAAAATAAAGTAAGACTTTGAAATATAAAGCTCTGAGAAATCACTGACTTAAGAAGATAATATTTCAGATTGATAGTAGTTATAGAATTTCAGTTTTAATAAGTAAGATCAGACTGAATACAGTGATAAGTCTTCTCAGAGACTTCAGCTTTAAAATGAGTATAGATAATAATAGAGAGTAGATTTATTTAAATATAAAATTATTCAGAAACAGAATGAAGTCAGTTACACTGTTCAAAGATATCTATAGATTTTAACTACTTTATCTGAATCAATTAAATGAGTTTTGTGATTAAAGTATCTTCATACACTGAAAAGAGATGAGTTAAAAATACTATATAATCTCTTAATAAATCAAGAAAATTATTAAATATCTTCTTATAAACTTTCATAGTTCTCATAATAGTGTTCTTATTTTTAAAAATAGTATTTAACTACTGAAAATGTGTTCTATGCATAGAAAGTGTATTAATAATAGATATTTAAAATAATAAATCATTTACAGTACTGAAAACACTTTTAATCTTATTATTATAAATCTTTTGAATAGTATCTGAAATAAGATATAATGTTATTTACTTTCAAAGCTTATTATTATTATCTGTTATATCAGATATATTAATGATTTCTTATAGTATTAACAGTCTTATAAAATCATATATAATCTGAGTTAGATCAGTTTCTGAAATATTAGAGAAAATAATTATAGTAGTAGTAGTCACAGCAGTTATGAAATTATTATATCTGATTATCTTATTTTATACAGTCTTCTTGAAGTTCATATTATTATAAACTATAATAACTTAAGAATCTTTGATAAGCTGCTGAAGTTTAATCTAACAGTAAGAATTAGTTAAGTGATTGACTCAGAAGTTGATAGAAGTTTAAAGAATATACTAGAAAATAATAGATATTATCAGAGATTACTAGAAGTTTAAGATATTAAATAGAAATATTAATAAGTTAAGAATATTAAGTTATATTTTCTCTTATTTAGTAATTTTTATTATTAATCTATTTCTTATTATACAGTTATAACAGAGTTTAAAGTTAGAAATGATTTCTATCACTCATCATTTTACTCTTAAGTTATGAAAATATATAGAGAGAATAGAGCTGAAGAAGTTTAAGTTTTTTAAGAAATAAGAGTGATATATAACACTTATAATAATAAACAGCTGTTTAATAACTGTTATTTTATCTGAGTCTTATTTATAGCTTTTTCAATTAATATATTTATTTTTTAGAATAGAAGTAAGTAGATTAAATCAGATTAATATATTAGTCTGAATAATTTTAAAAGCAGTCTGAAAGTCAATGATATTCAGATCAGAATCATGATTAAATTTTATAAAGAAGAGAGTATTAATAAGATATTTCAGCTTCTATTTAAGTAAGATAGTATAATATTAATTATTATTAAATATCTCTACTTTGAAAAGTACTGAATATAGTATATTTCATTACTTTATAGAAGTACTGTATTATTAATAAGTTAAGATATCAGAACTCTAAATTCAAGTCTCTATAAAGATTTTCATTTCTCAACTGTTTTACTGTAATATTCTGATAATATAAGATAATTTCAACTATCTTTTCTATCAGTTATAAGACATTGTAGACAGATACTGTGAGTCATAGTAATTTAATTATAAACAAGCTTATAGAGTATCAGTATCAGTATCAGTGATCTTAAATTCTGAAGAAGTATTAATAGATTCAAGCTCTGTTAAGTCACTATCTGATATATTATATTTATCATCTACATTGTTAAGAGACTGTAGTGATTGTAGAGAGAATTCATCTTTGAGTGATAAAGAATATTGACTGAAGTATGTCTGATATTGAGTATCTTGAGATTCAAAAGATATACTGTCTTTTATCAATGATTATAATATAATGAGAAGAAGTAGTAAGTTATAAAATAGCAGAGATAATAGCAGAATGACTGAGAATTTAAAAAATATCAGTTTGATAATGATCAGATAGATATTTAGAATAGATATATAATTCTAAAGTCAATTGAATATTTTATATAAGTGAAGTTGATTTTTTATATATAATGAAACTGTTTCTTCTCAGACTCTCTACAAGATATTAGATTGTGAGCATATGTGAAGTCTCTTATTAGTCCAGAAGTTAGCAGGACTTGGCAGAAGTCTAAAGGAGTTTAGTTGGTCGCGCTAATCCGAAAATATCGAGAAGAGAGGCTGAGCATGCTGAGATAACTTCCATCGTGTCTTCTCGTTGGGGGTCCCGGGTTGATCGGCCCTTCTACCAGCAGTGCGCTGGTGGTGATTGAGCTCTTTTGCCCCAGTAGCCTACACTAAAGGCCATGTAGCAGCTAGCTTCTCATAATACAACCAACTACTCAAAAAGAACTCCTCCATCAATCTGAGACTAAATTTTTATTTGAAAAGTGAATCTGAGATCTTTAATATTTGAAATAAAGTGATTTGAGATCAATGTAATAAATACAAACTGTAATCAGAAGTAATGGTTTTGGATAATATAATAATAACTGTAATTGATCCTCGTCCCAGACACGGTCACACGGCCAGTCTATGCAGGAGTCAGCTGATATCGCGTCAAAATAACTGCAGAATAAGAGCAATAGATGTAGATTGGACAGGAGTGGTCAAAATTTAGCTCGTGCGTTCATTAATACCCAGCCTCATATCACAATAGAAACAAGAAATGTGCCGTTGTGATCACTGTAACATGGACCTGGCAGAGGGTTGCAGACCATATCGGATGTCTTCATTACCCACCACTGCAAGTTATTTTTCGGATATCATCGTGTCCCGTAGCGGATCCATATGGGTGTTCGTTCGCAAACACGTCCAAATTTGACCAGGTGGATGGAAGTATTTTGAGAGAAAATATCCTAAGGGCTACTTTTATAGGACGATAATTTTGCTAGATTGCAACGCAGGTGCATTGGTCTGAGAACACACGAACTGTCGTAAAATTGGTCGACCCCGTACGAAGGTAGGCCAGGCCTGATAATATGTCACCCCATACTATCGTGTATAGCGCTAGCTATCTCCCCTAAACCAAGGCAAGACCTATCAAATTCCACAGGAAAAGATTTATATCATCATTTCTCGAAATACCGCACTAGCAGTCACCTTACTCAGGCTGTATAAAATATTAGCACACGTATCAAAGGTAGATAAACATCAAAGAAGGCCAGATCCCAGGGGCCACCCATCACGTAAATCCACACGCATAAAAAGAAAAGAACATCAAAGGGGAAACAGAGTATATAAAAGAGAATCAAAGAGAGAAAATATAACGTACCCTAACCTTCCCCCTCCTCCGCCTCATATCTTCCACCTTCCTCTTATCCTCCTCAAACTTCCGCAACAACTCCGTCTGCCTCTCCTTCCTCTTCTCCCGCGTCTGGAACCGATAAAAGTCCTCCAGCCCCTTAGTCTTCTCCTTATGCTTCTCCGCCAGGCCCTCATCTCCTCCTCCCTGGCTACAGAATCAGTCTTCGGCCCCCTCGTAACCGTCACAAAGCCATCGTCATCAGGCACCTCAGCGCCCTTCGCCGCCTCGCGCGCACGCGCCTCCTCAAACCTGCCAAATATACTCATGTAATTGTTAACGGTGCGCAGCAGCTCCAGCGCGTGCGGGATATCGTAGTTTGTTATGGGCTTTTGTACCCGCTGGATTCCTAGGGCGGGGACCCGGCGGTCATCTATGCCCTGGCCCCAGACGAGCTTGGTGCGATTTTTCGCCACCCTTTTCGCCGCCTTGAGACTGGCTTCCATGCTGGGACGGGTCGACGAAGATGACAACGGCGTGTGCGCCGCTGGGATGCAGCTCACGATCCCATGTTCGTGGGAGCTCTATTGTGTCTAGCTCTACTTGTAACTCTTCGGTGCTATCGCGTTTTCGTTTCTTGGCGTTGGTGACGGGGGTGGGGGTGACGGTGATGGTTGGTGGTTTTTTGACGGCCGTGTCGTGGAATTCAACCCGCTCAACTCGACCGGAGGATAATTGAGCGCCAAATAAATGTCGCAGATGCGTTTCTGTGGCGGTTACTGGAACATTTACAACGAAAAGCGAGCGGGCGGAGTCTGCGTCGGGGACTCGGGGTTCGTGTGGACGGAGGTAGATGTAGTGCGTCGCAGAGCTTTGAAATGAAGGCATTGGTGGGAGATCTATGGGAAGAACTGAGTAGCCTGATATACTCAGCGGAAAGACCAGTTTGGGTGCCATTTTGTAATTGTCAATATGTCCCGTCTAGTGTTTTTGTGCTTTCGATTCTAGATAATTTTTTAGAGTCGCCAGTAGTAGCTCAATCGTTGAAATTAACTTCAGAGGATATTTTACACGGGAAAAAAGCTTGGCACCGCCGCTAATCCTTCCCTTGGTACAAGTACTATAATGAAAACCCCCTGTCAATAGCAAAGACGCATATATATATAAATATTTTTAAAACATGAAATCTCCGCAGCACGCGAGACCGCGAACTTGATTGTAAATAAAGTTGGCCATTGTTTGCAACATCGAACCTACATCTTGTCTGGATCATTGATACCTCCATTCGTGATCACGTAAATGGCCTCGCGCTCCGGACAATCTAAAGACAAGTTCAGTGAACAAACTTGAACATATCACGACCCGACCTGGTTTTTGATTTTTTTTAAGGCAAGTTATTTACCTGGAGAATCCTGAATCTTTGCAACTCTTTCATCACCTCGGCCTTTCCGAAGCAAGACTCGAGTGGTTGAAGCGTGTGCTAGGATATGCCCTCCAACTGGTTTGCGTCCATCCGCACCAGCGAACAGGGCACTTGCTCCAGGATCGCTTTGTACCTGATTTGTCTGTGGGGAGGGATAAGCATAGATATCAAGCGGAGTTAACTCTCTCCAGCCTCCGCACAACTTACCATCAAAACGCAAACGTTGAATTCTAGAACGCAACTTGTGAGCCAAGCAGTCCACAGGATATGCGGATGGACACATCTATACTCACCTTCCGCCATGTGCGCGAGTTTCATTAGGAACTGGTTCAACTTTTGCTGTCGATCCGCCAGTTCCCCGCGCCCACAGTAATCGACGCGAAAACAGTTCATGATGCTGTCAATGATCAGCAAGCGGTACTCACCACCCGCAAACTCTTTCGCCAGCGTGTTCAGAAGCTCCAGCTGGTGTTCGCTATTCAGTGCTCTTGCATACGCAATGTTTTCCAGCGCGGAATCCGGGTCAACACCAAACCGCTCCGCGATTTGTGCAATTCTTTCAGGGCGGAATGTGCCTTCGGTATCGATATAGGCTACTTTACCTTCCGCGCCCCCCATGTCCTTTGGAAGCTGGGCTACGACAGACATCGTGTGCGAGAGTTGCGTTTTGCCGCAACGAAACTCGCCGTAGACTTCACTGATACTCATGCTCTGAAATCCACTGCACAGAGGATAAGTCAACGTCTACTCGAGAACCATCAACGTTCAGGGACATTTGCTAAACGCACCCGGCCAAGATAGAGTCGAATTGTTTGCTTCCAGTGGAAATCCTTACGACCCGCTTTCTCTGGTGGCCAAGCTCCATTGCAGTTATGAATCCAGACGCTGAGGGCTGCATTGCATGCTTAGGTCAGTTTAAAAAGGGTTTCCCTTATGCTCCCACCAGCCCAGCAACCACTAGACGAACGAACAGCTTTGGAGTGGGGATACCCATACCTGGCATTTCTGAATAGCCTCCTTGATTTTCTCTACCTTGACTTCACTGAAGCCCTTGATTTTCAGCAACGTCTTTCTTGTGGCTCCATGGACAGACTATAATATATCCCGCCAATCGTTCGATATCCATTGCGCTAAGTGTTAGTATTGACTAATTATCAAAATGCCCCTGATACCCTGTGAAAGGACAGTAGCAGGAGGTATAGCATCATCAACTCAAAAGGCAAGATAGGGCAGTGAATGAGATTGAAGACCAGTTATCGTACAGCAACAGTATAAAACCCGTTTGCTTTCAGTTTCGTAATATCCGCAGCTCCAACACCTACACATAACGACGATCAGAGCGACTCTTTTAGCTGACCTGTTTCTACTGTTCTGGAATGAAAATGGCTGGAATTGAGAGGCAGGAGTGCAGAGAACTAACCGTGAGCTTGGATGCCGTCGATATCGACGATGAAGACATCCTGTCAAACAACGGATTAGACCTTGGTTTAATTGAGTGCCTCATCGAGAGCATCATCTGAACAACACCAGGAGTCAATGTTCCTCTCTCACATCATCAAACTCATCACTGGCATTTGACGCAGGCATGACTTTCCCTCCTAGCTCAGCTAACTATCTAGCCACTAACAGCCACGGACAAGGTGAACGGGGAAGGGGGAGGGAAATATTTCAAATAACTTGGGCAAATATGCCCCGTACAATGCAATGAGATTTGAAAAGTTACTATATAACGGCAAAATGATGGAGATATATAGATGGCTTCTAGATGTACTTCAAGAGAAGATGGGAGCAAGGGAGGGAAGAAGAAGGGGAGCGCGTAAAGGGGGCACGCCGGGACAGACCTGGGGAGTCACGAGCATTTCCCGGAAGACAGCGGGTTGACACAAGGCACTTGTCAATTTCACATCGTTTCTTTTTGTGTCTCCATGCATATATACGGAGAAATAGAAAGTTCAAGCTGATTCATAGAATTATCAAGGCACTGATGAAAGTGTCCAATGCACACGAGCTCTTTTTCTTTTTTTCTTTTTTTTTTTCCTCCCTCCCCCATTTGTGGTTGATGTCAACCACTGGAAATTTGGCGGCTGTATGCTTTTACGAAGGCAAAGTACCAGCTGGGCCCGTTTTCAGATTAATTCGCGGAAGGGAAAAGAGAGAGGAAGAAGAACCGCGCAAGATGCAGGAGGAGAAATTAGACGTTTTAATAAGGATAAACCCACAGTATAAAATGTTAGAAAAGAATAAATGACCGCGCCATATTCCATAGAACGAGGGACAAGAGCCACCCTTTTTGGTTTTGTGGGTGGAGAAAATAAACTGAAGATAAAAAAAAAAAAAAAAAAAAAAAAAAAAACCGCAAAAAAAGCGAGTTGGTGGTTCCCGTTTACCGACAATTTATATAAATCCACAACCCACAAAACAATCTTGATAGAAAATAATTAAACAGACCCAAGTCCCACATTTTTTTTTCTCGTCCATCATTTCATTAGCCTTGCTGAAATAATTTTTGAATTCCTTCCAATAATTTCCCGGGGGGAGGAGAGAAAGTAGATTGAAAATTTCTCTTCCCCAACATCCCCCCTAATTTTTGTCCCCCAACCTTGTTAGCCAATTGACGCCGTTTCATGAGGGTTTATCATATAAAGCCCGCTGCCGGATTCCAGATCGTAGAAATTCCCTTGGTTTTTTGTCGTGAAAACCTTCTTTTCTTGGCATATAGTATATATAAAAGACCTCAACTTCACAGTCTGGAGAATCTGACACGGGAGACATAATATGTGCAAAATCTTTCCAGGAAAAAAAAAAAGAAATGAAAAAAACAACAGGAGCGAGTTTAACGATAGGGGACCGAATCGGCTAGACCAAATACAAAGGGAACACAAAGAGAGGAATAGTGGTGGTTGGTACGGGTTCCGTCACATGAGCCTAATGGATTCGTTGGATGCGGGTGGGTTTTAGAGAAATCGACTTTAAGCAACCGCCGCTGTAGGCGCGGGAGCAACGGGAGCAACGTTATCCGCTACCCCAGCCTCGGCAGCAGGTTCTGCGGGAGTAGAAGCGACGACTTCAGTGGCGTTGTTCGGGCAATCACGAGAGATATGGCCAGCCTGGGAGCATTTGTAGCAAACTTTGCCTGCGGAACTCAGCGGTCCGCCGTTAGGAGCAGTGCAATCACGAGAGATATGACCCTGCATACTGTTAGATAGTGATAAACATATCTTTTGGAGTCGATCTATTTCATTGGGCATTTCTCAGTTGATTTGCGGGGGATCTCTCACCAATTTTCCACATGCGTAGCATTTCATAGCTTGGGCCTGACAATCCCTTGCAAAATGGTTCGGGCCGCCACATTTGTAGCACATAGCAGCTCTGGGATACCCCATGAATCCTCCACGGAAGGGAGGATTGAAGCCGCCGCGGACAGCTGGTGCACCTCTCATGGCACCTTGCATACCAGCAGACAGGCAGTTTCGCTATACAATAGTGTCAGCAAGGCCGATTCAAGCGTACAAGGAGGACAAAGTGTAGTAGGCGAAAAAAAGAAAGGGCATTTACTGCTAAGTGGCCGGGTAGATTGCAGTTGTAGCAGCGGCCGCTCGTGGCTCCTCCGTTGATGCGCAGAGTGGGGCAGTCAGCTTGCACATGCCCTAGACCCTGGCAGTGATAACATTGTTTCGCTGTAGCGAGAGAACGGGTTGTTAATATAGCTTCCAAACTGGGGCAAGAGCGGGTTCGCCTTACTCTCTGTTGTGCGAGGTCGCGGGCAACCATTCGACTCATGTCCTAAACCGACGGTTTAGTTAGATGAGGACTAATTTCGACTTCGATTCAATTGTTCGTAAGTTGGGGCTTACCGGGTTGTTTGCCTATGAGAAGAAATCGATTAGTCTTTGAGACATAGGAGAGGACCCCAGGAGGAGTAGTGGTGATAGGATAAATGGCATAGCAAGGGAAAAGAGCTTACAGTTATAGCAAAGTCGCTCCGCGGACGAGCAAACCTCTATACGTTACAATAAGCAAATGCTCTCAACTTCACCAAACCATCGATTTTGCTCTAGCTATTTCTCAACTAACCGGCATAATGGCCAATATTGCCACATTTGTAGCATGCGCGGCGCGATGACGACATCTTTAAGGATCTCTGGCCGTTATTCAAATTATCAGTCTGAAATTCTTTTTATCGGATATGGGCGCAGCTTTAAGTAAATTGGACCGCAAGGTGGACCGCAAGGCAGGCTATATAAGTGGGCAAGGAAAACCGGTAGAACGCAGGCTGCATATTCTCGGGCCGGATTGGTAAACCTTCTGCCTGCCTAACAGCAAGCAAGCGGAAGGGAACTCGAGGGAATGCTAGTTGGCAGCTTTGGAAAGATTGAAGAAGCAAGGGGGCAAGTCTTGAAAACACACTACAGCTTTTTTGTGCAGGCGACAGGCGACTCACAGTTCGAAATGATTTCTTGCTCCTTGTGAAAAGTAGGAAAAAAAACGTCACTCGAGGCTCCGTTCCGGCGTACTTAATATCCTATATTGTTAGCCTGGTGAACCACAATGACATACTCGTTTCCCAAGCTATGCACGGCAGGGGAGCACTCTTGAAGAAATTCCCAAGAACAGGGTTCGTTCGCATCTCGCAAAGGAACAAAGGAAAAAGAAAGGACTAACAACTCAGCACACCAATCTAAACCCTCACTTCTGCTCTCCGGTCCCACCAGGCCACGGGGAAAAAAAATCCTTCCTGGGTGTAAAGAGACACGGTTGTTTGATATGGACCTGCAGATTCGAGACAAGAAGACCGTCGTCAGGCCTGGGAAGCAGAAATGAGAAAATCTGTTGATGGGAGCTTGCCGACCTTGCCGAAAAGAGTTTAGCGTGAATATCTTCCCGTTTGCCCAGGCCTATGGGAGCTAGTGAGCTAGTGCAAGCATTTTATTTCTTTGAGATATCACCACAGAGATGGGCACATGTACTATTACTTGCAAAATATTTCATGGGCGCGATGGTAATTATTAGTAGCTAGAATAAATATATAGCATATCCCCTTTGTGTAGTACCCCCTGTGACAGCCTATTTTTTTAGGGAAAAAAAAAATCGCGCCGGATGTCTAACAGATATCCTTCCCAATCGTCCGACTAATGGTAAACTTATGGAAAACTGATGGAAATATGCCACTCTCACAAATTATATCATAGCGAGGATTGTTGTTACCGAGCTTAATTTCGGGGTGGGGTTCAAGTCCCCGCAGCCTCGCTTTCAATTACCGCTGGCGCCTTGATGGTTTTACCCTTCAGGAAGCCCAAACCTTCTCCACCCTGCATGAATATAGTCAGCGTTTGTCCAGGACAGCTGTGTAATAGAAGGGAAAAAAGGGACGTAGGGTGTATTTGCTTACGTAGCTTATCAAAGGGGAAACCTCAACGCCGGATGCTTCTTCCGATTCAGTCTCGACAATGCCACCAGCAGTTTGAATCCACCGCGCACCCTGGCGCATGATATCTCTCTTGCTGGTATCAGGATCATCCTCCCCTTTGCCCCGAGCGTTTTTCAACGGCGAAAATTCATCTTCCCGCTTGACCTCAATCGATGCAAATTTTTCAAGCGGCAGCAATGGGAATACGTCAAATACAAACTGTTCTAGTTTGATCCCATTGGGCGTCTCAGGTTTTATGACCTCGCCTGTCTTAGTATCGATGCAAGGGATCTTCTTGCGGGCAACATGATGTGGCAAGGTGGGCGCCCAGGTTTCGATAGACTCGAGGAAGTGGAACGAGTAGTAATGGTTCACGATATTCGCTGCGCGGAATTTGAGGACGTCAGGGTGTTTGGGATCCCTGGCTTCAGCAGTCTCCTTGTCTATTTCTGAGTATTCCACAACATCTGGTTTTCCGTTCCTCAGAAGGATCAGGCCGACGGACTCGGTGGCGTTCCGCTTGCGAACGACTTTGGTAGCGATGTCAACGCCCTTTGATGCCGCAAAGCCGAGGAATACAGGATCGGCAACCTTCACGAGGCAATTGTCGACGCAGTACGCGTGGATATGCTCGATGCCTCTATCTTTCATATCTGCTCGGACGCCCCATGTTAATAGCGCTTGGTATATGCCGCCATTACCATCAGGTGCTACCGCGACCTATTGCTCGATATTGTATGTAAGTTAGAAGAACAACAACAATAAGAAGACGAGAAAGTAGATGAAGGGGAGCATGGATAGACGTCTAGTAGCATAGAAAAGCGCGCATACCTTTGACTTGCTTTCCATTAATATTTTCCCCTCGTTAGATATGCAGGGTAGCACGCCTTGCTCAAAGATTATAACATTCTTCTTCTCCAGGCCAAAGAAATTATGTTCCTCAAAAAATGACTGGGTTGGTTGTCGGGTTGGCCCGCTGGTCATCACGTACCAGGGGATAACCACGTGTTTATTGCCCGATGAGTCCCGAGCCAACTTCTGCAGCTTCACAATTCTCTCCGCTTGTATCTGGAAAAGTGACTTTTTACTTGGAAGCCCAATATCAAAGCAGCCCTTTGGAGCAGCGCTACCCAGCCGAGTTCCCTGGCCGCCAGCCATGAGCACAACTGCCACCTTGTTGGCAGCAATCAATTGCAAGCCAGATGCGTAGAATCGTTGTAGAGACTCGGTATCTGAATCGATCATGGACGCTGTCGCTGATTCCGGCAGAGGTTCGAGAGTGGTTTCTTTGCCATCTTGTGAGGTCGCGGCGGGGTTGAGCGCCTTGTTGGCAAGCTCGTTAATGCGGTTTGGGTTGAAGTTGGAGAGCTGCTCGAAAAGTTGGGCCTTCTCTGTCGATTTCAGCTCATCGAAGAAGGCAAACACTTGTCCCTGTCCGGCTTTGTCATATTTTTGTTTCAGAGAATCGATCTCGTCTTGTGACGGTTCGCGGGGTAGAACTGCACCCTCCTTGGCACCAATGTGGAGGTGGTCCTTAATATTTGACACAAGTGTGGACATTGCTGCAGCAAATACTAAAAGGAAATAGGAAATACGGAGAAAAAGGTATAACGGTTTCGAGTGCTGGTTAGTTAATTGTTTGATTTAATCGGGGAAAAAGAGGGAATGAAGTTGAATTTTAAATAAAGCCCAGCGGGCGTTCGATACAGCAAACGGGACGCCTTAGCTGAAACCCCGCCAAACAATAATGTATGTATTTATAGCGTGTGATGTCAGTGGGCACAAGGAAATTCTACAAGCATCGGGTCCCTTGTCAGTGGGTCAGGGCAATCCGTCGGAGGGAGAAACAAAATTGAAAATTATTAATTGTTCTGTATTCGATAGCGCTGGAGGCTGAGCAGCGCGCTTTTAAGACATGGAGGCTTTTGCTAGGAGCCGCAGCCAGTCGCAGCCTCGGAGGCGACCCAGGCGGCTTGGCAGGCGGCCGGTTCAACCACAGGTGGCGCAAAAATGGCTACCAATCCAGGGGATGATGAACCTGACTCCTGAGGCTGAACTCCTTCATGGAGACCAACAAAAATTGCGATTTAAGGGGAAGATATTATTATTATACTCCGTACATAGGGGATTAAATCTAAAGGGTACATATTTTTGTCACCGCCTATGCCTCCCACTTTCATACGTGTGTCTCGATGAGTCTTTACTCCGTCTGTATAGCGCGTCGTTGTCATCGCCAGAGCGGCGGCGCGGAGGAGACCTGCTCCTATGCCTATGTCGCCTGGATGGGCTTCGACTCCGTGAACGCCTGTAGGATTCAGTATCTCCTTTCCTACGCATATCATCTTTATGAAATATCATCCCGTATTCATCTCGTCGAGGAGCCTCCGAAGCTCTGTATTGCCGCCTCTTCTCTAGGCTGGATATCCCCCCAAACCCACCCCGTTGGCTAGCTCGTTTGGAATTTGTTGCATTCCGCCAGCTGTCCGACAGTTTCGAAACCTAAATGGAAATTAACTGGCTGTCGCGTACGGTAGGTTGTGGGGCTCATAGCTAGAGGGAACTCACGCTTTGAGAGAAGTCAACATGGATTCTATGATCATCAATTAAAACACCTTGCATTTTAAAATAAGCCTGTTCACAGTCCTTTTGGTTCTCAAATTCGATAAACGCGTATTGCAGACTATCACCGGTCCGCTTGTCACGTATCACTTCACAGGAAAGAATTGGTCCGAAGCGACTAAAAATGAGGTGAAGATCCTCGTCTATTACGGTTAGCTTAGTATGTACGCTCAATCACAAATGAGGGGGAGAAAATGTGACCACCTTGAGTTACAGGATTGAGTTTGCAGACGAAAAGAACGTTCTCTGGTGGCTTGACCTCAGCAAACGGCAAATCCCCAACCATTTCCAAGGTCAACGCCTGCGCCCGAGCCTCCCGCTCCCGCCGTAGCTTTTCCACCGCCTCTTCGTCGATGTTTTCGTCCAACTCTTCATCGTCCGCAATCATTACTGTTGCCAGTTGGGCTTTTGAAGGGAGCGGGCTTTCAGGGGGTACCACAAGGTCCGGGGGATCATCAAACGGATCGTCTAAGATCACAGTATGCCGAATTCGGATATCTTTAAGCGGTCGTCCCTTATCGTCAATGAACGCATCGTTTATTTTCTCCAAGACATCGAATCCCTCCACTACCTTCCCGAATATAACCGCTTTCCCATCCAGATAGTCCAAATTATCTCCAAGTGTTATGATGAACTGACTGCCAGCAAGGCGCTCGTCAGGGTCTTTCGTAGAAGGGACCGTAGCCATGCTAACTGTGCCACGTTCTGTATGCTTCATTTTGGGCGGCAACTCGATCGGAAATGTTCTTCGCGAAGGCCCGTCGAGGATGCCCCAGATGGAAGACCCGCCATCGCTATCTTTAGAATTAGGGCCTATTGGGTCGCCGGTCTGGAAGGAGAAATTCTTCTGGACGTTGTAAACGGGCGAGAAATTGTAATACTTCACCTTGCATAGCTTCAAAAAACTGGGCCGCAACGGTTTGGATGTCTTAGTTTCCACCTTCAGTCGCTTCATATTTGTACAACATGCGGGGTGCGGGGAGGAAGGAGGACATTGAAGAGCACAGAATAGTGAAGGGTACAGGAGCGGATTTCCCAGAGTGGACTTACTTTTCGCAAGCTTTGGGGGAGGTGTCGACCAAAAGATCTATAACAATATCACCCAAAGAAGTCTCCAAGATAACGCTCATGGTCGCAAAGATATTGACCAAACGGGGGCAATTAAAAGTGAGGCAAGTGAGAACTTAGGTCGCGGGGGGGAGGCATCAGTTTTCAAATGGGGCATGGGAAGAGCATCAGTCATATAATTATAATAATTATAGATAGCTCGCGGTGCAACAGCTTGCTTCAAGGTGTGGCTATTCGCGGGGTTCGTGGGGTTCGCGGGGGGTTCGCGATGTTGCCGTGCGAGGTCCTGAGGAGGACGGACGTGAGGAAGTGAGGCTTGGGGTTGGAGTTGGGTCTGGAGATATCTCGGCGCGTGACGGTGGGATCGACGGGTTTGCGGGCTGGTTGCGGGCTGGCGTTTGTGTGGCCGCTTTGGGGTTGCTGGGGCTGCAGCTCATGACGTTTCTTGCCGCGGCCGAACGCCTCTCACAACGTAATCCTCAACCTCTCTGTTCACGCTATTTTATAGTCTCTGTGCAAAATATGATATATGGCGGGACAATATGATGTTATGTGATGTTCTATGATGATTTGTGTTTGCAAACGTTATCTATCATCTGCTTAACTCTCTGTTAACCCTTCCAACAAGAACATTTTCTTCCATCCTTGCTGGAAGGGTTTACCGGATGAGGCTTCTTCTTCCTCTGAACAAGCTTGTGCGCATGTCGGGAAGCTCATCCCATTCATTCATACTTAGTCAGGTTATTTTTACACTGTCGTATCTGTCTATACTGTGGGAGCTGTTTCTCTTTCTGCTCTCGAGTGGGATATCTCCCCGAAGCCAATGCTAATACTATTTTTTCCAAGATCCGCATTTGCCGACGCCCGCCGTGCGAGATGTCAAATGTACCCCTTAACTAATTGACGGAAGATCAGCAGCAAATCAAACTGATTTTAGGGGGGAAACAATAAATAAATAAAGGCTGATATGAATAAAGTGCCATTGGTGTCCTGGTAACAGGCCCTGCCTCCGCGCTACTGCTGGTGTGCGTCAAAATCTACTTTTCCCAACCGTTTCACGGGCCGTTAAAGGGTTCACTCACATAAGATTTTCCCAGGTTGTGTCTAGATCAAACTTTTTGGATCTGGTATGACTGTTTTAAGACTGTCGCGTACACGTGGAAGGCGGGTCGGGCAATCCATCGTGCGTAATGACAACAATCCTCTTTGAAGGGTATTCGACATTCAATTCCTACTTCTCCATGCATGAAGCCGAGGCTTGCAATAAGTTCTTTCCAAGGGTGAGGGAGGATCTGACTACCGGGTACCCGCAGAACTCGGTCCGCCTCTTCCAATACTTCTATCATCTGTGTTAGCTAATCTATGGAAATTTCTCCTTCTCCATGTCGACGCAAACGCTTTCGAAGCAGTGTTTCTGAGGAATATAGGATGAGCGCCATTTCTGACCCAGCGCTAACAAAACCCAAATTAAGCCTGCTAGACAGAGCAATGACGTTCAGAACTCCGCGATTATTTGTCCTAACTGCCCTACAATTCTACTGAAACATATATGCATTCATCTTGCATGATTGTTTTATTCTTCACAAAAGCCTTTTCTGTGCGTTTCCCTTCACTGAAAGCTTCCTCCAATCATGATAGAACACACGATACATATTTTCAACCAAACCAAACCGGCCGGCCTGAAGAAAGACAATGGACAATCTAGAACCTTACATTTTTGCTTTTCCTGACTGCCGGCCTCCTGGAATATAGTATTGCAAGCCATTGCAGCGTTTAGATTATGCCCCTGGTGTTGAATGCGGCTCTACGAATTACAAGCTGACTGTTGAACAAGCTTTTTTGCTGCTCATATCTCAGGCCAAGTTCCTAGGAGCAGTTTTCAGTCGTGGTTAAGGTCCCATTTCCTCTTTTTGGTACATATTACCGTTCATATACCCTAATTGGGCTTGCTGAGGATCAGGACGACTCTTCAAGTGGGAAATGGCGTTTTTGAGAATGATACTGGCAGTGGCAGTGGCAGATGTGTGGATGTTTGCTTCTGCAGCTAGGTGGGAGCAAACAACTTAATTGCATCTTGCATTTTTCATCCTGGCAAACGCTTTTTTTCTTTTTGGCTCCTTGCTCGAATCAAAAGTGCCATTCTGCAGCCCATTTCGTCTGCTTAGACCTATTTTACATTTTTTCTAGGCTCTTTCTTCTTTGTCTGTCTTGTCTTCTGTTTACGAAGTCAGCAATTCCGTATGATAAGTAAAATTTACTTTATGTTCTCCCAATACTTTTTTTTGCTTCGTCTAGTTTTGGATGAAGTTTTGCCTTTCGATCCTTTTCTCCCCCCTTTTCTTCTGCCCCCGCTGGCCTAATGGGCACCGCAGTTTACGGTATCACTTCACTACCCACCATGAGGATGGCGTCCAGCGTGTGCAATGCAGGGTAGGACACTTTTTCCGTAGCACTGGACACTCAAACCTCACAACCCTGTTATTAAATAAGCTGCACGACTTCCATCGCTAAGAGCCTTAGGTTCAGAAGAGGTACAACACGGCTTGATACATGGGAACACCGTGGAACTTATTAGACAAGTCAGTACCGTCAAACTAACTTGCTAAGCATACCTTGGGTATAATGAGTAATTCAGACAACACTGACTGCTGTCTGGCTATCGCCTCCAATGTCCTGCATGTTCTGCAGAAAGTAAACTCAAACAAGAGAAATAATTTGTTCGTCAGCTATATCTACACAGCATCTTTAAAACCTACACCATTCCCTGATAAGTTACCCAACTTGCTTCATTTTCCCCGCTATGGCTGAGATATATTAAGGATAACCAATATTATTCCACCTCTTCAAAAGCTGCTGCGTTGCTCGCCTGGCCTGAAGCTCTGTTGTTGTTACACGCATGGTGAGCTCGGGACATATAGAAACGGCCATATCTTCTGATCTTCGCTTGCTTGCTTGAAACAAAAGCGGACAGATAGATCATGTCTCCAGCTTACTTCGAAACTCAGGAGGACTTGCAATTCTGTCGGCAATCTACCCGCGGAATGAGCTACCCAGTTTCTCACTCACTGCGAGGTGATGTTCAACATGAGCTCGGGGGCGGTTATAGTAATCGAATATGCTCGACAACAGAACCAGGGGTTAACGGCGGCGGTACAACTACTCGCCGACGTATCCCGGTTGCTGTATGTTCATCTATGAGGCTAAAAATCCTCTCCTTCTTGTTTTTTTGCCTCTTACTTACCCTTTTTTCTATACAAGTGCGGCCGATGTCGACGAAGAAAGATCAAATGTAGCGGGGACATTGGCAACGGCCAGTGTACTAACTGTCGGAACGCAGGAACACAAAGTTGCCAGTTTTTGCGGGTAAGTTGGTTTCTCCGTGTTGTAATATACATGGAATGATCAGAATTGTTGCTAACGGTCCATAGGTCAGTTCATTCAACACCCATGCCAAACCATACTATGGCTGCTCCTGGCCATATCCCGGAGCGGGTCCAACGAGTGGCTCCTATGTCAACGGCGGTGGGTATGAGACACAGGCTAGCAGCAGAACAAGCTCTGTCTCGATTCACTCGGTGACTCCAACTTTCCTGCCGTATTCAAAGCCTCAATGTACTTATGATCAAGGAACTCAGTTTGCCCCGGTTTCCAGGAGCCCCTTTGTACCCGCATTCCAAATCAACTACGAGGGTGATTCCCAATCGTATAGTATCCCATCTCCGCAATATATGCTCCCTAGCACGGATTCCACGGGAGGTTCCAGCTATTCTTCGTACATAGGAAGCCCTCGGGCTTCTCAAGTGGGAAAGATCCGGAATGAAGATATATACCATGAGCAAGATGGCCATCCTGCCCTTGGATCTAATTACAGCTACATGACACATACCCAGCATCCAGTCTCCGTATCATCCGACCTTCCTTCCGCCCTCCCACTTCTCAGCGCAATCTCATCATCGTCGTCGGTGCCTGACAGGATATTACCAAACCCCGCATCGAGTCGTAATGGCCGTGACAACGGAAGCACGGTGGGAGCCCATTCGGCAGAGCCTTCGCTTCCTTCCTCCTGCGGAACTGGCCCAGGATTAAATGCCAGATCCTCAGGGCACTTGGCTCCGGATGGATTGTCGTCCAGCAGCCAGCAGAGCACGATGAAGACAACGCCGACTACCATAGCCAATGGTGCAGATTCGCCAAGTACCAGCAAGCCCCTGATCGGGCACACTGATATGGGATTCGGGTATGTCATGTCCAGCAACTCCGCGGTAGCAACAATGCGCCCAACAACAACATTCTCAGGAGTAGAGCCGGTTGAAGGGTTCCACTCCTCTGCGGAGAATGCTCTGAATGGACGATCCCGCCGGGGCAGTGTCTTTCGACAGCAATCCAGCTACGGAGCGCAGGCCTACGGCCATAGCACGGTGCTGCCCGCACACAGCTCATCAAGCACTTTGTCAAATGGACAGGAGTACATCCGTCTTCCACCCTTCGAGCCGTCGGCATCTAGGTGCTCAGACACCCCAGTGAACCCGACGTCTAATCTCCCAGCTCACAAAACGGATAACTTTGAGGGCTAACGAAATTCACGTATTCATTGTTTCTTTCTTTCTTTCTTTCTGTTATTTTTAATATTTGGGTTTATTATTGCTACCGGCGTTGATTTCATCTGTCAACGACAATGAACGAGTCTCCTTGGGATCAGGTTAAACGCCTGCGTACGTCTGCGCCGAATATCAGATTATACTGGAATTGGTAGGGGGTTGGAAGTGTTTTTTGTTATGATTCCTACACGGATCTCCTATTTTGTCTAGAATTGCCAAGATATGTCTCTCTTATGTTAAAGACAACGGTTGGGGTTTATTTCTTTTAATATTTTTGTTAATTGTTTTCTATTGTGCATTACATGCACAGCATCGTGTTATAGGATAGATAGACAGCTTGTTTTTATGGAAGCGGTGGTGTCTTCTCGTTTCTCTTCTTGGCAAGCGGATTAAGATTGTGTGTTTTAAACCGTCCCTACCTGTATTATGTCTCCCCTTTGTCCCATCTCGTCTGTTTATTTCCCCCATCCCTTGTTACACCGGCGTTGGTACCGATTTTGGGTATCAAGGGGTATTTAAGGAAAAGTATAGGTGCGGATGAGTACTGTACTTGGTGGTTAGAGTGTGTTGTGGTCAATTAGTTGAACTTTTTGTCCTGGATCCCCAGCTGCTGATTCGGAGATTTTCCCGTCACTATCACCAACCCCCTTGTGATAAGAGTAACATATGATAAGAATGGTTGTCAGTGCCGAGTTTTCACGATTTTGCTGTGGGGTAAGATAAACCGTATATGCAGAAGCGGATGACAGAATCACCTAAAACAAGGAGCGCGCGAGTCCCTGCTGGCACAACAAAATAATAAACGAAAAAGGTGTAATTTCTCCACATGGCTGATTTCAGCTAAAATACATCATCGATGTAGATAGATAAAGAAAACATTTCATCCAGCGCATTTTGGGACCCTTAGGCGAATCAAAAAATCCATGTCGTGAAGTCTCCACCCAGCACCATGAAAAACCAAATAAAGCAAAGAAACCCGGATCCCCTCTTTTATTTGCCCTTCTTTTCCTTCTTTGGTCCCTTGGTCTTTGCTGTGCCCCGGAACTTCTTCGATCGGTTCTTTCTTTGTTTGCCTGTATTTTTTGTAGATCCGAATGTCAGCTGAAAAAAACCAACGTATATTACCCATGGACGGAAGGACGAAGAATGGGGATATGACAAAACGTACGTTGCTGTCTGCTGGCCTTCTCAATCTTCTCAGCAGCTCCAATACGGACGAGACGATAACGGGGCTCGAATTTCTTCAGGGCTTCGGTTGAGTCGTAGATGAGGGCGAAGCCGGTGGTCTTACCACCACCATAGTGCGTGCGAAGGCCGAATACGGAGACTTGCTCCTTGTTGGACTTGTAAAGTTCTGAGAGTTTCCCACGGAGCTCGTCCTTGGAGATGTTGGCGCGGTTGGGGTGGAGGATGTCACTGTCGTGTGCAAGATGCCACAAAAAACCGGTTAGGAAACCACTGTATCATCACAACAACCAGACACCAGAAGCCATATATCCATATCCATCTGTAACATTCTGATCGCAAGACTTCCAAAGACTCTATTCCACATTCCCGCGCAAATGAAAAGATCAACTTACACAACCATCTGCTTTCTAGCCAGAAGAGGGTTGCGGATGAACTTGCGTGTCCGCAGGGTCACCGGAGCGTCAGCCATGATTGCAGAATTTTCGAGAAGAAACCACTGGCAGTTCGAAAAGTCTGCTTCGACGAAGGGGGAGGAGTATGGTTGGCGGCTGGGGTTTGTCGGATGTCGCTGTCGTCGAAAAGAATCACGATGTTTCAATGTATTTTTTTGATTTTGCTGGATGTGGGTTCTCGGCTAGGGCCAGCTCGCGGACATTACACTAGTCCTAATACGGTAGTTACATCTCCCGCGCTTAAGCCTCATCAAAGTTTTATTAACCCGACCCAACAACAAATATCGTCTTGATTGAAACCCGTAGACCTCACCAATACTACGAGAAACGCAGGGCTGTGATAATAATGATTGTAGAGCCACCCATTGACAATGAAGACCAAGTGGATTTACTTGTGGCTCAGTACCTTCAACTTCTTGAACCGCAACGCCTCTCTATACCAGCAGATAATGTCCTCAAAAGACCAGTGGTTCAGCAGCTGATCTACCAGAGAATGTTCGATGAAGCACACGTTTGGCCTATCCCTCCACCAAGCTATCGTATCCGGGTTCTCAAAATTCTCATATCTAAATTGGAAGAGTCAATTTCTAACCCTGACGAGGATGTATGACTCCTTTCACTCTGGTCTTCGCTGGCACGAATCATGGAACTACCAACATGATTCGCCGCATTTCTCGCATTAAACTATTTTCATTTCCCCTAACGATATCTCATTTTTCCAGGAGGTCTCGGATGATCTCATGAGGAGCTATAGCGATCTCATCGGTTGCCCACGACTGGCCCCCTTCGAGGAAGCCCGGACATTGTCATACATCCGTTATACAGCCCCCAGAGGTCACGCTTCACAGGGAAATCATAAAGGCCAATTCGTGATAACGTCAGAAAACCGTAACCTTATACTTGCCTCGGGAACCACCGGATTCCGCACATGGGAGGCGGCTTTACACCTTGGTACCTACCTTACAACCCCGGAAGGCAGGTCACTAATTGAGGGGAAGAATGTCGTTGAGCTCGGAAGTGGCACGGGATTTCTTTCCATGTATTGCCTAAAATGTCTTGGTGCCCGGAGCGTGACGGCTACGGACAGAGACCCTGCATTAATATCTACTATCAAGGACTGTGCAATGCAGAGCGACCCTTCATGCAATAGAATCAGTGCTGATATATGGGAATGGGGAACCCCATTTCAACCTAACCGGATCTCCTCATCTGGAGAACCGCACCAATCATTTGATGTTGCACTTGGAGCCGATCTGGTATGCATACAACATTCCCAAGTCAATTTTCAAACATCGTCGCTGGTGGCTGATGAAGCTTGCGACGCATTCACGCTGTGACTTATATATAAATGTGCAGATATATGACCGGGACCTTGTACCTCTTTTATCATCAACGTTACGAGAATTATTCGACAAGCACAAAATTAAGGAATTTATTTTGTCTGCCACACTTCGAAATCCGGCGACCTTTGAAACTTTTCTTAAACGATGCGGTGCGCGAAGGATTTCCCTTTTCCTTTCCCTACACTTTAATCATTATTGCATCTGTCTTGGTGTAACGTTGCTAGTGTGCTAACAGTCCGTTCTTGTCCAGAGGCGAGCGGTTTGGACTGTCGTCGGGTAAATTTTGAATCTCCGCCCCTAGAATCCCAGGATGGATTTTTTCACAGTACCAATGTTCCTATCCGGACGTACAGGATTTCAAACTCCTTACTTCCTTGATAATGTCCCATACATTTTTAAATCTTCTGCACGGCTGTAGTATACGACTAATATACCTTGATTCGTCCCCTCATTTGTGTTCATACTTTCCAAGCGCTACCATCTAAACAATTGCCAAAGACAGGGCTGTAAATTAGTCATTCGCGGTACAATCATCTTATTTCCATCCATTTTATTTTTTTCTATATTTCCTATTGTCACGAAGGGAAGAAAAATTAGGCTATGTCGAGGCGTTTCACAATAACGACCTGAGATACATATACCAGAACCAATCATCCCAAAGATTACTTGGAAGAGGAGGGAAATCATGCAGACATGGATAATTTAGCCACTGACAACTCAAGAAACAATAGCTTTTTCTCTCCCGCCTGCCGAAGAGGGCCCATGAGTATGTTTATCTATGGCCTTTACCTAGAGGATAATGCATATGGACATGCATGCCCACCTCCTAATATAATATGCAAAACATACCTGAAGATCCAGCCGCGGGCAGCCCCTACCTCATGCGGCCAAACAATCATATTATATCCCTCAGTACCAGCCCTACAATGCGTTGTGCTATACAGTTCCCTTCTTGTTTTAATATACCATATCATAAGCTCCGTCTTAATATCGGAAAATGGTGTCCCCGCATAACTCGCATATATATATATATATATGAATGCACACACAAACCCCATTAGAAGGGAGCCCCAGATCCACTCCGCCGCTTCCGCTATTCTTTTCATTCGTACGGAGTACCCTTCCTAGCTGCACTGCTGTACTTTGTAGTATTATTATGCAGAGCACGGACCACATCTCATCTCATCATCCACCCTTTTTTGACCGTTGGGGATGGATGGGGTAGAATTAGGCAGGTAGGTGGTCAGGAAAGCTGCTGGAAAGCGGGCACGAATCAGGGATGGGATTTTTCTACTGAGGCATACGTGTATCTCTATCTGCATGTTTTTAATAACCGCGTCTCGGGTGGATCTATAGAGACATGAGAAAGACCTACATAGGGTACACGGACGACCAGTCGGTGAAACAAACTTGTTTCTGTCGAAGGACTGGTTTAACAGATGGACCATTCCCTCAAAACCGATTTCCTCCACTATTGATGAAATCTGAACAAAAACCTCTAATGCTGTCCAACGGGTGATCGTGATACTTCTTCTCTACCATAATCCAACCCCCGACAAGCCTGAATCATGTAACCTCCGCATATTATCAGATCGACTAACTCCAGGAGCACATTCGGGCATCCAAAATACTTATAAGTCATGCACAGCATAACATAGCTTGCTCCTTGTATCTACCTAATTGCTCGAACCTAGAGATGTATCCATGGGAATGTAGGTACCCCCTACCCTTACTTACCGCTCTTAGTGGCTGGAGCTTTGTCAAAAGGCCATTGTAGTCTATTGCGCAGTACATGTCGTACTAAATTTATGAGATTCTTCTTTCCCGCCGGGATAGCTATGTAGAGGAGACCGTTGCTGTGTGAGTTACAGGGTTACATATCTAGGAGCTTCCATGCCATTTTTATAAAAAAAATATACACAGGGGTATACCGGGGGAAAATTATATTGTAGCAATAAATTGATAGAGTGCTAGATGAGTACAGCAAGTAACAGGTATATGCAGAAAGGTAATATCGTGTGCACATACTAGCCTTCTCGAGAGCTCATACGTTCAACTACCTACTTAATTACATTAGACAAACTGTTATATTTTATTATGTAACCTCCGTGGGGTGTTTCCAAGGCTTATTTCTATGATATCTCCTCCCAATCTGGACGATTTAGGGTTTGACTGGCTGACGACGCATGCATGCCGGTCTGTTAGTTTTGTGTGGACATTGCATATGCAGGGCATAGAGTATATTACATATAATGACCAAACCACTCAACACCCGCTTACACCCAACACCCGCCATTTCGCCATCACTATGATGAAATATTTTCAATAATATCTCAACAATGCAATTAGATTTTAAGATGATATATTATATAATGAAAATATATATAGAAAATTACATATAAAAATATATAGTTAATTCTGTAAATGTTTATTTGACTTAATAACTCATATGAAATACGAAATCTTGAATAAAAGCAGATTCAGTGAGTAAGCAGCTATTAAATCAGTAAAGATTATAAGATTATCAGATTTCTCTGATAATAAATTTATAAATATTCTGACAGAGCTCTCAAAACATAATTTAATTATTTTTTAAAAAATTGAGAATTTGCTTTTCTGATTAAAAAGATAATTTTTGAATTCTTTAATTTTTTTTATTTAATTACAATTGTTATTATATAACAGTTCATTTTTTCTTCATTTTTTATTATTAAGTTTTTTTTACATCTTTAAGTCTTTTTTTAATTTATTATTATGGCGGGCTGTGTCTGATCAATTATACAGACTATTTCATTACACTTTATAGATTCTGCTGAAAGCTTCAATTCTCAGTTATCAATTCTTAGCTGAAAATCTCACAGAATTTCTATTCTTTCATCTCAAAGCTCTATTATATACATGGTATTTCTAATCTTCTGCTCTGAAGCTTTATTATGTATATATATAAATATTCACTCTAATCACTGATTTCTGCACTTTCTCTTTTTTTTTCTTCTCTAATATTTTCTACTTTTTATATTATAAAATGTATATATTGTACTGATTTATTCAGTGTAGATATCTTATACTTGAAAAAAATTTATTATCTTCTTATTAGAAATAATTACTTATTGAGATATCTGAACATATTAGACTGACCGTGTGACTGTGTCTGAAACCAGAATTAAACTTTATAGTTATTATATTGTCTAAAAGCATTACTTCTGATCATGATTTATATTCATTACATTAATCTCAAATTACATTATTTCAAATATTAAAGATCTCAGATTCACTTTTCAAATAAAAATCTAGTCTTAGATAAAGAATATGTTTGAATTCTTAGTTACACTTAGACTGATCATGTGACCGTGTCTGGGATCAGAATCAGATTTTTTGATAGTTTCATTATCAATTCAACTGATCTCATTACACAGTTTTAACATTAGATAGTAGTTTCATACTATCTCAGTAAGACTTACTGTCTACTCTTATCACATTTTTCAAATGAGATCATGATTTTCACTTCTCAATTTAAATTATTTTTATTGCTTTAAATAACTTTAAATCTCATTTAAGTGTTATCAAAAAGTGTTACTTTTTAAAAAATTAAAAATAGTCTAAAAAAAACCTTAAAATGTCTAAAAATAGTAACTTTATGCCAAGAATGTGACTAAATGAGATCAAATGAGACCACTTTCTCATTTTTTTCAAGTCATGATTCCATTTTAAGATCTGATATATAGTCACTTTACATGTTTTTTTGATAGTCAGTCCCAGCGGGATTCACGCCAAGAAATGTATGAGACTAGACCAAATGAGATTAAACATGAAATTCATGATTCTGGCAGTCAGTCTAGTCACATTTTCATTCTGATCTTATTATTAAAAATGATATTAAATAAAACTATGAAATTATTTCTCACTTACATAATATCATAACATAGTACTCATTTGTTGAAAATTTAACAGAGAGTGTTATTAAATATCATTACTTTTCTAAATACAGATTATAATTAATATCATTTTAATTAAAAAAAAAATATAAAATATAAAAAAAAAACAAAAAAATAAAAAATAAAATAACAACAAGAAAAAATCACAACAAAAAAAAAAGAAAAAGAAAAAAAGAAAAAAGAAAAAAAAAAAAATCAAGATTATAGAGCTATAATACTCTTAAAATATTCACTCTTCAGAGTCTTTACAATGTTTATTATTAACTGTGTATTTCTTACAGTGAGAGTAACATGACTGTAATAAGTCATTGTCTTAATATTATCTAATAAATAATCAGTATATATCTGTATAAATGTGAATAATTAGAAAATATATACTTAAAAAGTGTGATCAGAGTGAACTCTGCTGTCACTTGAATAATATTAAGAGCAGAATACTGAAATCAATGATTCTTCTTATCAATTTCACAGATAAGATGTGTGAAGATAATCTTGAGAAATATAAGATCTTCTGACTTCTGATAAAAACAGATCTCACAGAGAGACTCTATTTTTATTATATCAGAGACTGAGTGTTATTAAAAAGCATTACTTCAATACACATGTACTTACTATAGCAATTCATTCTCTATATATATAACTGAGAATTGCAGCTTTCTTATACTGCATAACTCTCTCTGAGATGCTGTCATCAGTTTGTAACTCACATAGTCTCTCAGTTCAGTATATACTGTATATATACAGCTCTGCATGCTGAGGCTGTATTAATTATCATGATCTGACATAGTACTCACTTTTCACAGGTCATGTTTCATTTAATTGAGAGAAAGAGAGAACACAACTACTGTTTTATTTAAGAGAAGATGAATAATTGAATCTATAGAAGCTAATTTGATTTCTTCTGTATTTAAAATTTAATTAGTCTATACTCTTCAATTTAAGAGTTTCTGAGAGTGTTTTAATAGTTTTCATACTAGCTTGAAATTAGTAATTGATTGAAGAAGAGAAAAGAGAGAAGAAAGAAATGAGAATAACTTATCTTTATAATATGAAAATAGAGAATTGCTGCAATTATTTACTCTAGTAACAAAGATCTGTTTT